CGGATCACCGTCAGTCGTTTCAAAAATATATCCCCGATCGTCACATCCACTCGCGGTCGTTGACAAACTTGCGCGACGCGCGCGTTAAAAAGTAACGCGGTCCGTTACCGGAGGCTGCTACAGCATCTGTAACAGTAATGCTTCGAGTTGAATAATAAAAGGAGGACTGCAGGATTGCGGCGTGCAAAAACGCGAGGCTGCCGACGCCAAAATCAGGTTTCGTAGGCGTAACGGTAGGCCGGCGAGATCTCACGCGACAACCTGTAACGGCGGACACGTCGATCGACATCGTCCTATAAATAAGGCCGCTTATTTGCTACAAGATAAATCTCCCGGTAACGATTTGTCACGGCGGGCGCGCGGGGCCGCGAGATACGCGCGAAAATCTCCCGCACGACTTTTCAAACCGGCGACGTGCAAATATATATGTATATATATCTCGGCACGAGATATCGACCGCGGTGAAATCGTTTCGTCACACGTGCTGAAAGAAATGTAGATGGAAATAAATTAGTCGTGTCGGTAGAGATAAATGTTTTATTAAAATAATAATAATTTTCAATCGCGAAGAATTATTCGTTCCTATAAAATAAGTTTAATTCAAAAAGATCTGTATGTGAAAATATGAAATTCAATTAAAAGGTAAAATTGTATTAATTCTCACGTATAGGACACAAAATAAAAATATTCTCATATCACACAGTCTACTTTAAATTTAAAAAATATAGATAGAAGAAAGAGAAAGAGAGAGAGAAAACTGAAAGATATTCTATATGTATAGAAATGTGCGCATTTAAAAATTAAATTAAACACATAACGATAAAGGCAGTTGCGAGATAAGCGTATCTCCGCATAATTTTAATAAAACGAAGAAAAGAGATTCGCTAGATCGTGGAAGAAAAATGCTGGAGAAAATATTCCTTCTCCGCCAAGTATCGATATGAAAATGACAGATAAAAGTGGCAATACGGGGAGACGAGAATGGTCTCACGTACACCTCGCACTTGGAGCAACATCATAAATACGATACGACCACGTTAGCGGCCGTCTATGAAATTCCCAACACCTGCGACCGGCTGTCACGAGTAATCTCGCGCGCATAAACCCGAAAACTTTTATCCGCGTCCCGAGTACATCCCGTTGCCGTCGTTTCCCGTTCGCGAACAAAACGAGAAGCTCAGCGTGGCAGAAATAATCTCATTGCGAGAAATTTCCCGGCTACGAGGCGCGATGATATCCACCGTCATGTATATCATTTCGCATTCGTCGCTTTCAGAATATATATCTGTAAAAGTTTGAAAGCCGAATAAAAGAAACAAATATAGAAATGTATTTCGAAACATACGTACACGTTATTTAGAAAGTTTGATTGAAATACGAACACGCTATAATGTCATTACTTTATTCGCTACTATTCAGCAAATATATGAAATATATTTAGTCCAGTAAAATAGTATCAAAAACACCGAATATCTATGTTGGAACTTTGTGAATTCGGGCATCTCCTATGACCTTCTACTCACCCTCAAAAAATTGGCTTGTCTATCCGTTTTGCCATTTTCAGATACTATTTTACTGAACTACTTAGTCAAGTTTTTTTCAAATTTCTTGCACGCTCGTAAGCTGTATATATTTTTCACTTATATATATAAATCTAAAAAAAATTCTGGAGAAATATATTAATTATCTTAGCCTTTCATTTGTACTTATTTCATTTGTAATTCGAAAATTGTGGGCATTTTCTGCGCATTTTTCTGTAATCTGTATTTTGCTAGAAATCGCACGGACGTGGCCACGCGCGTGGGCAGCGGCTAATAACTGACATTCTATTAATAGAAAGCGCACGGGGGCGTACTCCCTTTTCCATCGATCGATCGATCGATCGATCGATCGATCGATCGACCAGGCCTCGATCTCGCGACACTCGTATCGTGCGTGTATGCACGATCGCACTTACTTCGCGTGGGTGGACTGCATTTTTTCGTGCAAGCAGCACTGACTGGTCGTCGTGCATGGCGCGCACAACTACATTAGCAGAGTGCTAATTTTAAATCCATTAATCAGCTCGACTCAAATGTCATCCTATAATCTGATAACGGAAGATTGCCGATCATATTTATCGTCGTTAAATTTATGTTCTGCGAGGAATTAGAAATTCGATATTGAATATTTCGATATTTAAATCTTAAATCAAAATTCAATCGATAAAATATATATATGTATAATATTTGAAATATCTTTTTTAAAATTTGATTTTTTTATCGTGATAAATCGTATATCATCAGTTAAAAAAAAATCAAGTTTGAATGTAATTTTATGTTCATATATAATCAAATTAAGTCGCTATACATCTTGCACACGTCGCATGCTTGAAAATAAATGAAGAATCGAGAAAAGAAAATATCAGCCTGCTCAATTAAGAATAATTTGAAGAAATATTTCGAGTTTCGCGCTCCCCTGTTTCTCGTTCGCGAAGAGTACTTATATATTAACCACTTAAGTTAAATTAATCACTTAACTTGCTGTCAATCGCCAGATATAGATAAGACCGACCAGTCCCGTGAAACTAGTTTAGCATAATCCAAGTATCCTCTCGAAGCTCGCGGGCGTCAAACAAAGTACGAAAAAGCATCCTCGAAGAAAACGTCTCCTTTCGCGCATATCTCCTTAGCCAAGGTTCATCGATCGGGATAACCGGTAGTAGATCGGTCTTCGCCTGCTACTCAATCTCCTTCGTGAAATGGTTCTCGATCGTTTTCGCCGTTTCCCGATCTCGAGCCATTCGAGACGCGATAAAACGCCGTATGTACGAATATTATTAATGACAGACGCGTTAAAATACGATTTCGTGGGACAGGTATCGCCCACTTGATACGCAGGTCACTCAACACGCTCGTTTCCTTTTGCTTTCTTTTTCCGTTTTATTTTTTCTCATAATTCTCGTCGAATATACTTTGGATCTATATCGAACGTCATTTCCTGCTTATAACGAAGCGGTGTTTACCGGCTAGAGAAAGTATCGCAAAAAAGATCCCGCCAGTCGTGGAAGCGTCAGTCTCGGTTCTGTAGGAGAGCCATATAATTTGTATAACATATTGTGTGGTTCCCAAACATAGTTTCGTGCAGGAACGATCCGCACTAACGCGATGTAATAAACGCGGGCACGTCTCGTGTTATTCGATCCCACCGCGAGTAAATGAATCGCGCGACAAACGCGTTTACTTAAGCGCGGGCACGTATCGTGCCAACAATGGTTTTCAAAAGTATTTTCGTCGTCGTAATTCCCACTTGTAACTCGATCACACGCGGTGCAATTTATAATCAGACATAATAAGCTCGCGCCATATCGCACAAAGTAGGAAATCACGATATCACTCACGATATCGTGACATCGCGCTATAATTCGTCAATTAAGATTTCAAGCCTGATGGGAAGATGAGATAGCATGTTATGTCTTTATATCATCTAAATTACAATTTCAATGTCTTGCGCGCGGATCTGTTTATCGTGTCTTTGATACAAATGCAATCATCGAGTGATGAAATTATGGTCGATTTAAAAAATCGCAAAATTTGTCGCCGCGATTAGTCTTGGCAATTTGTCGTGATAGGACTCAATTAGATCGTCATTCTATTAATAGAAAGCGTCATATCATGAATTGGCGATTCGACTTTTTCTATTCGATTCGGTTAACGAGCGTCACGACCGAGTTTGCTGTCTAAAGAGCACCAACGAGACGCGGCGTTATTTTTCTCCCCATTTCTTTTATCGCGAGTCAAGTCATAAAACGCGACGAGGGGATAAATCGACTAGACGCAAATCTCGTCTGGCGCGAAAACGGATCGGTGCCTCCGGGAGACTACGTCGTATGTTAGCCAATTTGGCAAACCGCCAGGACATCCCGCTGAAAATCGCCGGACGAAGGAGTCAGCGCGTTTCTGCCTTCAATGGGTCGTGTTGCATCTACGGCGTCGTCGCGCGTCAAAGAGCGCGTCGACGTCTTATAACAGGACGGTCTTAAACCAACGCGCGAAATGGTTCGCCTTTTCTTTCTCTCTTTCTTCTTCTATTTATTTCCGTTCACCACATCGCTCCCTGACGGTTTATTCCCAGTTCGCGTGTGAAAAGCAATCGAGTAGAAGTTTTCGCATCGATTCGAGTCAAAACTTTCTCTAAAGAAAAATCTAGATGTTAAAGATATATTTTATTTATGTATTTTATAATTTCAATTTTTTACATATTACAAAATAGTTAAATTCTCATTAAAATTAATCGATGTTGATGAAACTAATCTCAAGTGTAAATGAAACAAATCTTAGAATTATAATTATAATGTTCTAGTTATTAGAGATAGACAGTTGTATAAGATATACATTTAAAATTCCTACAAGTTTCAAACAAGTTTCAAAACAACGTGTGCAAAAATTGACAGGCTTATTAGTTTCTGATGTGTCAGTCTAAAGCGTAAAATCATGATTATCGCGTCAAAATGTGACAATCATGCGCGATCGAATTTTTTTTTCTCGGGGCGATCGAGACGAGGTGATATTTATCGAAGGCAGTAGGTCGACCGGGAATATCTTCTCATTAAATTCTGATCTCTGCGAAACGCTTTCTAAAACTCGTTATTATCGAGAAGATCACTGGTAGACTAAACTCCATTATCGAATCCGCGACTCCATCGTTTTTCTAATATCCATGATTTCATAACAATTTCGATTTTATTGCAAAAGACTGACTTTCCGATAAGTTCGTTACTTAGTTTATTATTGTTACATCGAGATTAAAATACGGAATTTTTTTAAAAATTTATCTAAATTCGTTGTAATGTAATCGCACTATAGAAACTCCTATCGCCAGATACGTTTATGTTCAGGTTATCGAAGAATAACTTTGCAAATGCTTTTAAATTAAACGATGTTAATACACGTAACTACGTAGTTACCCTGAGAGGATTAACTCAGTAATTGAAGAAAAACATGCGACGCGAAAATACATACCGTGCGCCAACAACGACTTGCTGCCGTGCCACGTCGAAAAGCAGCTGAGAATATGTCGTGACTCCCTCTTGTCGAAACATATTGATGTCCGCTAAATCTGCAACAATTTAATGAGACATGAGTTACTTAAGTGAGGTCAAATATTTCAATTTTAAAAATTTTCATCTCCGGCATTATCTAAGTTTCAATATTAAAATTATTAATATTCCATTCTTTCTCTCTTATTTTAAATAAAATAAAACGCATATCAAAAATCGTTATAAAAAATGTGTGATGAAGAGGTAAAAAATTATTAAATAACTACAATAGATACAGTTACATAGGGCTTTCAATCTTCAACTTGGGAGGTGAGAACCGGTACACGAACAGGTGCGAAAAGTCGGTACGAGGTGTCATAATTACCGAATCGAGCGTGTCGAAAGCGGCTTTCTTTTTCGTGTGTTTACCGGTAGCAAGTTGTAATTCAGCCTAGGCCAACACGACCAAGATATGGATGCCACCAGAATTTTTGAAAGATTCTTTGCGCATCACCTAAACTCAAATGTATTAAGCCCATAATATGCCGAGTTGACAATATAAATTTTTACTTGAAGTATGTAATTAGTTTATTATGTCTTTTGTGTGTAAAAATATTTTATTTACTTATGTATTATTAATAGATACATCATTAAAAAATTTTACTTTGTCTTTTCTTTTACTGAATATTAAAATGTCCTGCAACGATTGAAAAAAATTTGGTGTGCAAAGTAAATTAAAATATAAAATTTAATAATGATTGTCACAGAAAATAAAGTTGCTGACAAATGAATACATTAATCGCTTACGCGATTATTCTGATTGCAATAGGATCATGTACGTTCTTCAAGAAATTCTGGACATTGTTAAAAAGCACATGCAAAGGAATTCTCGAAACGCGGACCACCCTGCACGATGACGACTGACGGCTCGTAGAGAACGATTTACTTCGATTCTTCTTTAAATTTTATTTTCTTTTTTTTTTTTTCTTTTGTTGACATCGCCACGAGTCGGATAGGGAAGAAGCGGCTTTATGTCTCGCGATGTCACGCCGTAATATTCCATACACGCCTCACACATGCATTCGACTACGTGCACTATCGAGGCGTAACGATCGACTTACAAGACTGCCTCGTAAAGCAGTCTTCGATCTTCATGCCGGAGAAGAGAGGCAAAGAGCAAAGCAAAAATACGGAGGATGCTGAGAGAAGGAAAGGCCGCGAAGAACATGCCGAGCGTTCCTCCTTTGGTTAACGATCCCGGAGGATTCTTCCTCTTTCCTCTAAAGCCTCTCCCTTGTTTTCTCCATCCCTTTCCTACCATTTCTCGCCTTTAATTCTCTACTCACGCTATTTTCGCTTGCGCTAACCACGCCCTACGCATCTATCTTTACGAAAGCGCGATTTTACGATGCATTCTTCAAGATAAACGAGTAATATGGAATGTAATGGACCTCATAACAACATTCCCGTAGCTTCCTTGATGGTCTCAGAACGGAACCAATTGAACAGACAGTATCAGCCTTTGACAGCTATTAATTACTGAAAGAGGTTGACGCTCTATTTTGTAAGAATCTTGAAGTGTTGATGCTAAAAATTTTCCTTCGATGTACAAAGCAATTAATTTTCGAGTTAGACCGGAGAAATGTGATTCGCGTCACGTTACTCGAAACGTTGCAATTTTGCGCCATTATTCATTCAGCGTTAAGTAAAGCAACACTCTCCCGCCCGCTCGAATATCACTTGGCGTCGCGGAACGATGAACGATGAGAAATATCAATTACTCGATGCCCATCATTTATCGCAAACACATCGTGTTCGATCTCTCAAGAACGACTCGTACGATGCTTCAGCAGGTAGCGTTCTCGCTCCGCTTTATCAATTTTCCGTCTTCCGCGCGCTGACGGGGATAATATCGCTCCGGGACGAAATTGCATCGAGGATGGAGCGATCGTGTCGTGCCGTGCTTACCTTGTACCACCTTGAGTACTACCACTGCTATACTACTATTACCACCATAAAGTGATCCCCCCAACGTACCGCCACGCTACTGCAGATGTGGACCACCGGGCTTGCTATGTTAATACCGATAATTGCGTTATGCGAACTGCCCCTCCCTCTCTCTCTCTTTCGTCACCGCAATCACGCACCACGTGTGCAAGCAGAAATGCAATTCTTTATTAAATTACCGCGGTACAAAGCTTCGTCTGGCGACTACACGCGATCAAAGTAAAATTGCTACATTGAATCCTTAGTATATCTTGTACGCCAAAAAATCAAAGGAGCTTCTCGAAAGTGTGATAATGGATGTAAAATTTTATACCGTTATATAGATATAAAATGTTTTTTTTCACAAAAAGATATAATAATTTCATTTCTTTCTTTATGCTTTTTAGCGATAAAATGATATAATTAAAATAATATAATATAATGCTGTAGAAAAATTAATGTAACCGAACGTTGGATACAAAGTGAAGCGTTAATAAAAGAGAAAAATTTATTAGATACATATTTCTCAAATATAGAGTATCAAAGTATACAAGAGTAGTATAAAAATAAGTAAAGTAAAAGAACACAGTTTTTATTAATAATGATAAGATGAAACATTTGGAATAAAATGAAAAAAAATGTGTAATTATCGCACCGCAAAACCTGAAATTTATTTAGACTTTGTAATAAACATTAAGGACGCGTTGGAATATTCTGTGCATCCTCGGAATGTCTTTCCCTTTGAATAATAATTAAAACGTATGCATCATTAATGAAGATCGTATTAAAGCCAATAGCGCCGATAGCCACGCCTTATTTAATCGATTTAATTCTGTTTCCATTAAGCGGATTAAATGCGTTGGCGCTTTAATACCGTTTACGTTCGTGAAGCACGCGCTATTTCGTAAGAGTTAATCCCAGATCTACGGGAGATTCCGTCGGATATCAAGATCCGAGATGACGGAGATTACGCGAGAAATATAAGTTACGACAAAGCGGCAAAGTTGTAAACGATAAATCGCGGGATCTTGATAAAGTTCTCCTCTCCTTAAGAGCGAGAGGATACGCATTTGCACGAACACGCGTTCGCGGGCGGAAGGGGAGAAACCGCTTTTGCATAAAAGGGGCCCCCTCCGAGCGCGCTCGTGCGCGCGTATACAATTTCGTGCATGCTCGATGCATCTAATTACTTACTCGGTCAGAGATCAAAGACGAGTCACGCGGCGTATTAACGTACGTTAGCGTACGCCGACTTCAAAGGGAGGAAATAATAGCGTCGTCCTCAGCGAGCCTTATCGTACAAGAGAGACGTAACTGCTTGAAAAATTTCTGAGGTTTCACCGAGATTTCTCTTGTTTATCGTCGAGTGTGTGTCGACGTGTCGACATGTCCCGTATGCTTTCAGAGTCTCTCCTCGGATCTCCAAATAAACTTATCTGTTTATCTAAATGTGCGTCCGCGTAAGATCGATCGTTTTGGTGAAGCCTGGGTGGTCGGATAAGTACTTGAACGATGGGAGCGAAACACCGTTATAACATCGATGAGCGAGCTTCACCGATTGGCGGAATATTAATATTAATTGGCCCTCATAATCTTTATCGATACGCGATCTCTTAATTGCGTTCGCAGTCGCTGTACGTTCTTGTACGTCCGAGTTGGCTCGTCGCCCAGCCGTCTAAGTCGTTATTTAACTCCGATACAACTTACGTCAGCGTGCTGATTTTTTTATAAACCATAATGCCGGACAAATTGATTGCGCCTGCTACGTGTAATGAGCCGGGAAGATTAGATAAAATAAGAGAGCTGAAATAACAATGTAAAGTGCCAAGTTATTTTTGACATTTTGTAATAAAAATAGCGAGTATTATTAATCTTCTCCTATTCTTGCCTACTTTCTATATTACGAAGATTTATATAAATTTATGAAATGTATTTCAGTAGAGAAAGTGTAGGATTTTTTAGACCTCATGGCATGCAAGACGTTTCGCTGCAATTAATATTATAATAAAATCCATAAAATAAAGCTTTGCGCATAAAATATGCGCAAAGTTTTATTTTGTATATTCTATTACAATATTAATCGCAGCATAATCTTTTAATTCCCATTATTTTTTTTTTTTTTAAATGAGGTATATGTGCGGATTCCACCATGTCAAAAGCTTAAAAAAATTTATGGCACCTGGAGAATTAATATACGCCAGTCACTGATCCGCCGAATCCCCTTTACAAGGGGACAATTTGGGCGACGTAGATGAATCGCGTCGCGAAGAATCACTCCTTAATAAATCTCTTAATTTTAACGAATCTCCTTAAATGAGATCGTATAGAAGACCTCACCCTTCGCCAGAAGTCTCGCGAAATTTATGGTAACCCTATAGAGAGGAGGGCTAATGTTAATATATACACCTGGTCTACCGAGAATCTCCGTCACGGTTTAAGGGACGGCGACGTAGGTGCAGATCGTCGCGTCGCGAACAATCATCGCGTGCGCATTATCAATGATCGCCACGCGATGCAAGCTCCGGTCTCATACCATTATCCACGTGGCCGTTTAACCGCACTTGGCCGCAACCACGTGGGTGGCTCGACTTTGTCCCGCGATAATCCCCGTCAATTTGCCCCTTCCCTCCCCTTCATCCCCGCCCTCTCTCGTCATCCTTTTCTTTTTTTCTCTCGCTCGGATACCCGCCAAATTGCCCTCTGCAAATAAGGACGCGTCGACGGTCCCCGCGCTCTTGCATAATGCCTTCGCGCGTGCAACCGTACACCTTCCCGAGCTCCTCCCGGCCCCTCCTCTCTTCTGCTTCTTCTACCTCGCGGATTTTTTTCTCTCGCGATCACGCCGGCGGAGCAACACGTGGGTGGTTTCGCGGGGAACCGATAATTTTCGAAATTGGTCGCGAGGAGGCGGCAAAATGTGAAATCGCGCGTAAATCGTAAAGTTCGGCCGAGCGGGCGAATGAAGCGTATCGCGACGAAAAAAAAAGGAAGAGATATAGCTAGAGAAAAAAGAGAAAAAGACATGAGAGACGAGAGACTTTCCATTTTTTATTTTCTCTCTCTTGCAGGAGGAAGAGGAGATATTCTTCTCGTT